TTCCGGTTCCACCCACTCCTGGGAGCCGGCCTTTGCAGCCAGACAGACGGACGGAATCCCAATCACATACCCTTTCGGCACTGCCCTGTGCTTGAGGGGAAGGCGTGCAGGGCACATCGGTTTTCCCTTGAAGAGGACGTTCAGAGGTTGGCCCTCGGCAGTCCCCGCCCTGGGTCAGAACACACCACATGGCCTCCTGCGTCCCATGTGTCCACTCATCTGGTCCCCTGTCCCTCCTGGGCATCTCGTCCTTGGTCTTGGGAAAATGGGGATCTTTCCGTCCCATGGAGTTGACTGCATCTCGGGGCGTGCTCTTCACATGTGGTGGGGTGGTTCTGTGACACCCCCCCAAAGGCAGCCCCGGGGGTGTCATCAGTTTCAGAGGAGCTGTTTTCCTTGGGACACTGTTTCTGCATTTCCTCCTGTCTCTCTGTCTCTCTCCGACCACCACGTCTTGTCGTTGTTGTCCGATGCTGTCAGGGGGAGTTCCATTCATCGACAGAACAAAACACTACCCCCCAGCCCCCGGGCCTGCACCCTCCTCAGAACGGTTCTGGTCCTTGAGCCCATTGTTGCAGCCACTGCATCCATCCGTCTGTCTATCCGTCTTGTCGAGGGCTTCCTCGGTCGTATTCCTCCTCTCCTGGCGCCCTCTGACCACGATCTGTTTCTGCCTGAAGCTGTCAGTGTGTGACAACGTCCCGCTCCTGTCCGCATGACTGTCAGTGGCTAAGCCCTGAGAAGCGGACAGCCGATTCCTTCGTCGTCGTCGTCGTCTGTCCTCAGTCTGAAAGCTGCGCTGACCTGTCCGCTCTGGCTGACCCTGCTGGCGTTTGAAATACCAACGGCACAGCTAGCTTCCAGCATCACACAAGCTGCGTCACACGTGCAACAGCCTGGCAGAGCAGTCTATAGTCTGACAAGATCCCCAAGTGATTTTTTAAAAACATTTTATGGTGAAGGAGGCGCAGGTTGACAGAGCGGGACGTGGTTCTCCCATTCAACCATCCACGCACACATTGTTTCCACCCCTCCATTGCCATCCCCTCGATAGGCCGCCGCTCATGCTGTACCCCCCACTCCCCCACCCCCGGATTCCTGTTTCCACTCCTTCTCTCCCTTTCTGTACTTTGACCTTGAGTCAAGGGCATCCTCTGACCTTATGCTGACTATCCTAGATGAGTCCTATTCCAGATCTGAAGGGTGACTAATGGCCATAGTCTTTTAGGGGGGCAGGGGGGGCAGGGGAGGTCCCACTTGTGTCTAGCCAACCAGAATCCTCAGGTGATTGATTCTTGCAATCGACGGCCTGGAGGTGGACAACTCTGACCCACGGCACAAGGCCGCCACACTCCCTCCTCACTTGCCTGCTCCAACACCAATGGTTCCTCCCACACCGTGACGTCCAGATTCATTGCAATAGCCACACAGAACTCAGGGGCAATACTCACAATTGAGGGGGGTTATCGGGGAGCCCTAGTGGGGTAGTAGCAACCTTCAGGCTGTGAACCGTTGCAGAGTCAGCAGTTTGAGACCGGGAGGCGCTCCTTGGGAGAAAGACGAGGCTCTACGCCCATAAAGAGTTAGAGCCTCACAAACCCACCAGGGCAGCTCTCTGGGTCCTTGTGAGTCAGAACCGTCCCAATGGCAGTGAGTGATCAGGGAAGTTGACCGGTTCCCATGAGTCAGGATCAGCAAACAGCACAGATACAGTCAGGGTCTCCTCAGCCAGCAGCGTGGCCTCTGCCTCATGGGCCAGGAAGCCAGCCTGTCTGTCGCTCCGTCTCACAGTTCCATAGTTTCAGCAAGAC